GATAGATGATAAAGGGCCTCGAGAGGAGGGCTCTGCCCTATGATGCTGCCCTGTTCTCCTTGTGGAGCTGAGGAGGGTGGTGAAGTCTGAGGGGGGTGAGGGCCCAATGGGGACAGCTGCTCACAGAGGCCATGGGGGCTGAGGATGAGAGAGACCACTGGGTTCACACACAGGGTGTCTCTGGTCACCAGGGTGAGTCCAGGATGAGACAGGGATCCAGCCCTGCCTTGAGCTGGAAGAGGTCCTGTTCCCTAGATCCCAGGAGGGGAACCCTCCTACCTGTGCTGTTTCCTTGGAAGACAGTGACGGTCAAGTTCTGTGGAGAGTCTGGGACAGAAAGACAAGGTGTCCCCGCATCAGTGGTGAGGGCTGGGTGGACATGGGTCCTTGTCCACAGGAGCTGCATAAATGGGGGAAGGGTGGAGGTGGGCGTCCTCCTGACCCCCTCCCAGCCTGGATTCTGTGACCCACGACCAGTGTCTGAGACCCTGACACCCCCATCCCCACTGCCCTCAGGACTCCATCAGGGACCCGGGTGTCATGGCCCAGCACTCACAAGTGACGTGGAGCTGGATGGTCCTTTCCACAGAAAGACCAGTTGTGGGTAACTTCACCTGACACGTGAGGTTGGTGCCATGGTCCTGGGGCCGTGGGGTGAGGGTGAGGAGTGAGGAGAGGTGGTTCCTGGGGCCCAGGGAGGTGAGGGCAGCCGACATCCAGGAGAAGATGGGGGGCGCGCCCCGCTCACAGGCCCAGGGCACAGAGCAGGTCAGGTTCCTGGGGCGGCCAGACTCCAGGGTCTCTGGGGTGAGGATGTCGGGTGTGTGTGTCAGGGCTGGTGAGGAGATGGGGAGACACAGTAATCAGGAGGGAGAGTCTGAGGAGCGGCCCTGAGAGAAGCCTCATGCTTTGGTCCAGCTACACCCTTTGACCTCTGACCTGTTTTACCCCCAAACCCCTCCAAGGATGGAAAGTCCCCTCCCTGCTCTGCCCTGGGACGCCCATGTCTTTCCCCTGTGGTGATTCCTGCAGCCAGCGCCTTACCCGTCACATGCACAGAGAGCTGGTTACTTATGTAAGAATGTCTCACACTTCCTCTCTCCACTCGAAAAAAGTATTTTCCGTCATCTGTCCTCCTGGCGTCTCTGATGTCCAGGGAGCAGTTGTAGGTCAGGAGGTCCTCAAGGAGGTGGAATCGGCCCTGGGTCTCCTCCCGCACTTTTCCGGCTGGGTTGTTTGTGGCCACTGATGCATCCTGGTCTGTTCTGGCCCCTTCCCGGAACCAGTAGCCATGAGCTGGGGTAGAGCCACTCCAGCGACTCCAGGGGTAGGAGAAGGAGCAGGGCACAAACACACACAGGCCCTCCTGCACCGTCACTGACTCCTGCACTTGCAGCCAGTAATCCTCCACTGGCTGCCTCTGTCCCTCGGCCCCCTCCCTCCACCAGAGCAGGGCCAGAAGCAGCAGCAGCAGCATGTCTGGTGTTGGCAGTCCCAGGTTCCCCGAGAAAGTCTGTTTCCCGGGGTTCTCTCTAAGGAACTAAAAGTTGCAGATTTAGAGGAGACTTTAACAGGAAGATGAGGGTGAGGTCAGAACAATGACCCTGCTCAGAGGAGGAACTTCACACCCAGACAGTATCAGGGCCGGGACAGCCAATGAAGTCAACCATGCACCAACCACGTCCACTCCTGGGGACCCCGGGCCAGGGAAGGTGAGAGGCTCACCCAAATTCACAGCCCATGCAGGGCCTGAGCCCCGTCTGCTGCCTCCCTGTCAATGTCCTTTCCCTCAGGGATCATTTTCTGCCAAGTGAAAATTGGTGCCTTCTGGCCAGACACCCTGAGTCTGTCTGTGGAGTTTGGTCCCGCCCGGGGTGGGACTCAGGGAACCAAGATATGAGCGAGGCCGACTGACCTCCCACCCTCAGCATCACCATGGTGGGCATACCCTCTCTGCTCACGAGGTCACACACTAGCCCTGGACGCAGACCTCAGTCACTGTCCAGTGGCGAGACAACCGGTGTCCAGGCAGTTGGAGCTCCCTGTGACCGGGACAGCGATGGGGGACACACAGGCAGTGTGGGGTTTTGCTCTCCTTCCAGGTTGGAGGTTATGTCTCAGGAGGACTGGGCAGAGGGGACGCTGACGCGGTGGAGGCCAGGATTTTGTGTGTTAGCACAGCTAAGGGTGTCAACGGGAGCCCGGCCCACAGGACCCCTGGAAACCGAGGCTATGATTCTCTGTAGAGTGGGGTTTGGAAGCTAAGAAAGTGCAGGAGGGAAGGGGCAGATTTCGAAAGGGATAGAAACTTCCCCCTTTGTAGAGACAGTTTGGGCACCAGAACGGATTTCTTCATCACTGGTGTCTCAAGATTGCTCCTCCTCATTGCTCCAGAGCATGGCAAGATCTGCCCACCTCTGGGTCTTTGCCAAAGTAAGCTCTGCTTTCAGAATTTGGCTGTGCAGGAGACACAGAGCAAGGAATGCCAGCCTGGGGGTCGTCCACCTTCAAGGAAGATGAGGATTTCAGATGAGATTTCAGATGAGATTTCAGAGGAGAGAAGAAACATGCACCTGAATTCACAGAAGGTAAGTTTTAACAGTGTGGTGGGGGCTGGGAGGAAGATATGGGAGTCCCTGGAAGTGGTGACTGTCCAGACGCAAGTCAGTTTTCTGGAAAGATTTGTTTTGGGAAACGTAAGGCACATACAAAGAAGTGTCCCCACAAGAACAGCTCAGTCATTCATTTAAAAATGAACACCAGGGGCCGACCCCGTGGCATAGTGGTTAAGTGTGCACGCTCCGCTGCTGGCGGGCCCAGGTTTGGATCCAGGGTGCCCACTGATGGACCGCTTCTCAGGCCATGCTGTGGCCACGTCCCATATAAAGTAGAGGAAGATGGGCATGCATGTTAGACCAGGGCCAGTCTTCCTCAGCAAAACAAGAAAAAAAGATAGGAGGATTGGCATGGATGTTAGCTCACAGCTGATCTTCCTCACAAAAAATAAATAAATAAATTAAAAAGACCACCCTCCAAGAAGTAGAAGGTTCGGAGCACCCAGGACCTCCCCCTAGATCCCCTTCCCTATCACCACACCCTACTCCCCACAGGAGCCCCAGTCTCACTGTAATGTCATTTATTTCCTGGCTTTGCTCTGTGGTTTTATCATCTAAACATGCTGCCTTTAACATTATGGCTTCGCACGGGTGTATCTTAATACTTTGTATAAATAGAAAAATTATAGTCTGTTTCCTTCTATTCGACTTCATGAAGCTGCCCATCCCATAATATCCCCTTCCCAGGACTATCACCCAAAACCTGAGTAGACTCAGTGCTGTGATCATGGAGAAGGAAGGTGCGGGGTGGGAGCCTGCATAGACACTCCCACACCATCACCATTTCCTGCATTTTCAGCTGGAATCTCATCCTGCAGACCCCTCCCCTCCTGGGCCCCTGTGCTGGCCACTCACTCTCTCCCTGCAGGGGCAGCTGCAGCATCTGTGCTCAGAAGGGCGTGGCCACGCCGATCCTGTTCCCATTGTTCGCAATTTGCAAAGAAAAGCAGAAGAATGGGAAGGAGAGACATAGGGAAAAAACTAACTGTGTGCAAAAGAGGAAGTATAACCCACGGGCCATCAGAGCTGAGGGGATCGTCTAGCTTTACTTCTCCATTTTGCAGCAGAAAACCCGAAGTCCAGAGTAAGCAAGTCAGTTGGCCAAATCACACAGGTGCCCTGTCTCATGCACTATTCTCTGCACCTTGAGCCACTTCATCAATCTTTGTCAGCCTAGCTTTCCTTGGCAGAGAGGCAAGAAGTTTAAGTTAATCTGGAAGAGAAGAATTTTCAACTCAACCCAAGAGGGGAGGAAGGAGATTTAATTCATTTGTTCATTTATTCATTCAACAGTCATGTAAATCATGCCTTCACATTGCTAGTAAGAGGGGTGAATATGACAGGTCTAGCCCTTGCCTTTGAGGAGAGCACCATCTGGTAGGGAGACAGGTTACCTGATAATTCTGGTGCCATAGGCAACGTGGCTGTGATGGGGAAGCACACATGGGGTGGGTGGAGCTCTTGCTCGTCTGGACTGAAGGGGGGTCTCCGGGAGGACTGGGCCAAGTAGACATGGTAGAGACTCGCAGGGGGTCAAGAGGGATGTAAATTCCGCAGATGATGCTGGTACCCTGGGAGTTGCCAGACTCGCAGATATTATCTTCTCAATACCCCTCACTCCCATACTGTGCTGGTGATCTTCTGCCAGCTACCAAGTTATGTGTTCTGAATGTGCCCAACCAAATCTTTGCCCCAGCCGACCTTAGACCACCACACATAGGGGGTGCTCCTTCTGCCCAGGACTTACCTGGCTCCTGGGCATTCCTTAGGAAAAGGCAACGGTGCTTTCCGTGGTGCTGATTCAGAGCTGAGTTGGGAGATGTCTGCAGCTCTGTGGAGGGGCCTGCTCACACAGCACAGGGACCTTATATTTGGAGTCAGGAGGGTCAAGACATCAGATGTGCTGGGGAGGGCTCAGGTCTACCTGGGAGGAGACACTAGACAGGGGGAAATTCCTCTGCTTCTCCACCTTTTCTTTCTGTCCACCCTCAGGAATGTCCTATGAACAATGTCAGGCTGTGGTCACCGGTCCAAGGGCAGGGAAGGTGAAGGATTTGTCCTGCACCTTTGCATATCTCTTCCCATTTCATTTTCCCTACATCCCTAACAGAGAGGGATGTTCCCCTCATCAAGTGGAGGAGGCAGCTTAACTTCAGACAGACGAGTAGCTGTAGCAACTAGTCACCAAAGACAACCCCAAACAATCCAGACCCTCCTTCATACAAACATGGCGCTCCTCTCCTTACAAGATGGAGTTGGTTATTATTATCTCCTCTCCGTGAACCTAAATGGGGCTCATGTCCACTTTGCCCAATAGAATGTGGAGGACAAGATGTTCTGAGACTCATGGCTCAGACATTAAGAAAACCTGGCAGGTTCCACTCCCGCGTCATGGATTTCTGGGCATCTGTGTAAGCAACCACGGGGACTCTGATGGAGAGAGATGGTACGTAGAGCAACACTGAGGGGTCAGATATTCAGCCCCAGTCACTGCCACCACCCCAATGCGACTGCCTGAAAGAGCCCGAGGCAAATCTAGGGGTGAAACTGCCCAGCTGGGCTCTGGCCCATTTACAGAACAATGAGAATAAATAATAAACAATACAATAAAATTATTGCTTGAGCCACTGTGTTTTAGGTTGATTTGATGTGCAGGGTGAGATCACTAAACAGCAGCCAGGCAAATCATAGCTAATAAGGAAAAGGTTAAGTTGAAAGTTTACTCACCTGACGGATTTTTCCATTTGCTATATTTAAAGGATGACTTTTAAACGGGTATTTGAAAGCTTCAGTGAACCTACCCGTGGAGGATTTGTCAAGCTGGAACATATCCGTGGAGGATTTGCCAAGCTAGAACAACGTTTCCCATCATCCCATTCCCTCGTTGCTTCCAGGTTAAAGTTGGCCACAAAAGGGAGAAGTTGAAGCTGCCGCCACAGGGCTCTGAGGGTCAGTGGAGGCGGAGGTGCTATGAAGCCCTTGCACATCATCCATGATGTTTGGCTCACCCTGCTGGTGTGGCGTAACAGCTGCTCAACTGCTGGGAGGCAGGGAGGGGTAGCGGAAAGCCACCGGCTGGATTTCAGAGGACAAGGAGCACCAAGCCTTAGTACATGGATTGGTGCCCCAGGTGGACACAGGTGGTCCAGAGAGTCATTTACAGTGACGGGCAAAGGATTCAGGAGAAGAGCATCCCTAGTATTTCTCTCCTACTAAGACGTTGTCCCAGGATCTCTTTGACCTGACAACTAGGGCCATTTGCCTATTCAAAGGAGCCCCATCTTCCCCAGGGCAAAGGGCAAGAAATGGCCCATCTCAGTATTCAGAACGCCCAGTGCCCAGCTGTGAGTCTGTCTATCTTTCTGTGTGTGTATGCTCACCATTAGCCTCCGAGGCCAGTATGATGGCTAATTTTATGCGTCAACTTGACTGGGCTGTGGAATGCCCAGGTTAAATATTATTTGTGCATGTTCCTGTGAGAGTGTTTCCAGATGAGACTGGCTTTTAACGTGGTGAACTCAGTAAAAGAGATTTCCCTCCCAAATGGGGGTGGGCACCATCCAATCCTTTGAGGCACTGAATAGAAGAGAAAACAGTGCAGGTCAAATTTCCAGAGAAATGTTCCAGGGTAAATTTCCAAGGTGGGGTCCCCTTCTCAGAAGTCAGG